TTGTAGTATAATATATCCCAAAACCCTATTCTAATTATTAAACCCTAAAGCCTAAACCCTGAACCCCTCAACCCGAAACCCCAAGCCCCTATATTTCCCAGGTGCCGTAAGAGACTCTGAGGAGTTTGGATGGGAGGAGGGCGCGGGGAAGCTTCGACCTCTGGTCGGAGGAGTGGTTTTGGAGTTAGAGGCTTTAGGGCTGAGGGGTTTCGGGGTTTGGGGTCCATAGGGTTGTAGGGTTTAGGGGTTTGGGGGTTTAAGGTCTATAGGGTTTATAGGGTTCAGGGATTAGGGGTTTGGGGGTTTAGGGTCTCGGGTTGGTCAGCGTCCAGGCGAAACACTGTTGATGATAAACATCCTGCATTACCTTAAGGACCCTAAACCATGGGAATTATGGTAGATTCCTTATTATGGGTAATGCAGGATTTCTGTCATCAACCGTAGTTCCTACGTTTTGTTGTAGTTGTATCCCAAGATTCGCGGAGCTTCTGGATCGTTCGTGTGGCATCTTGAAGAAACCTTGATCCCTAAACCCTGAGCTGTGGTATACTTTTGTTGCTTAAATCTAGTATACAGTATAGTTTTAAGATGTGTAGGCTTTTGCGCAGTAACAGGATTTCAGATGTTGGTGTTTGGGGCTGGCGGCCGAGAGTTGCCGGGGTAGCCGAACTTAAGCTTAGAGCCCCGGTTTAGGGTTTAGGGTTAGGGGTTTAGGGGTTTAGGGTTTTGTGGTTTGTATTAGGGTTAACCTTTCGGGCGGCTTACATAACCCTACTATAGTTTAAAAGGTTTAACCTCCTTTGTGCTAGGGTACTCAGCCCCTATGTAAGGGTTCGAGCGGTTCAGGCCAGCTTTTGTTGTTGGCTGGGGAGGTAACCTCCGGAACCCCCATTCAGCATCGAAATGCATCAACCCACGCTGTCACCCAAAGGGTCCACGTACCCAAACAGTAGATACTTTGGCCTTAAAGTAGTCCCAATTTGGGTACGTTGGGTTTAGGGTTGAGGGTCCATGTACCCAAACAGTATATGCTTTGGCCCCAAAGCACCTATTTAGGGGAATACGGTAAGGCCAAAGAACATACTATCTGGGTACTTGGACCCTTAGGGTTACACGCAACTCTCGACTCTCGGCCCCAAACCCCTAAAACCTTGCCAAAACGAACCCTAAGCCCTAAACCCCGAACCCTACACCCTGAACCCTAAACCCTAAACCCTGACCCCTAAACCCTACCCCCATGTCGAGGAGACTTGCAGATCCTCGACGTCAGTTGCGGATCCTGGGTTCTTCAAAAAAAGCAGGAACTTTCTGGTGTAGGGCTTGCAGACAAGGCTCTGAAGGGTTCAGGTAGAAGTCTTAAAGTTTTTAGAGTTTTTTTTGTGTGTTTGTTTTTTTAAACATTGTTTGTCATTCCTTTAAGTTTTTTTTGTTTTTTGTTTGTTATTATTATTATTATTATGGTAGCTTGAAGTATCAAGTGAACACCCCAAGCACTGAGCTCCTTAAGACAACCCAGGCTTGGGCCTGAGCTCAATCGCAGCAGCACGAGCCGGGCACAACGTGACCGCAACGGAAATCTCTTGGAAGGTCTGCATGTATGCTTATGATTAGGGTTTAGGGTTTAGGGTTCATGCTTATCAAAGCACATATACATGTATGAGATGAGCGTGTATATGCATTTTTTCCCTGGGCCTGCGCAATTTACCGTAGAACTTGTGGGTAGAGGCTAACACACAGCCGTTCCTCCGCCTCCGCAAAACGTTCAGCTTCTGTAAGATATTTAGAGGTTTATATAATTACAGGGCTATTCAGATTTTAAATCTTCGGGTTTCCAGGGTGTTGGGGTTTATGGATGCGGGGTCTGTCGGGTTTGCTTCAGGTGCTACGACTCGTCGGGCAGAATGCCCAGCGCAACGGCGTCCAGCTGCGCCTTCGGCAGTGGAATCTGCTTGATGAGCTGGTGCCACGACTTCCCAAGCGGCTCCGCGTCGATTTGGGAGACTGTGAAGTTCAGGTTTTGACAGCCTCGAAGTGTAAGACCCAGATGAGCCAATGTCGGTTTCCTAAGGCCCACAGATTGCGATGCAGATTAGGAGAACGACGTCGAGTAAGGGAATGGGGTTTTGCCAAAGTAGGAGGGTCTGCACGAACAGCATGTAGGAGATTCAAGAATTCACGGACATGTGGTGGGGCTTTGCGGCTAAGGGCTCCAACATGCCTTGTCAAGGGCATACGGTGTGAAGTTAGGCACTGTCGTGCATATGCTTTTTAGGGGTTAGGGTTAGGGTTTAGGGTGGGGTTTAGGGCCTAAGCTCCCGGTTACCTATGTTTCCAAGGGCCTGCCCACATATAGGCCTTTCGTGCAGACTTTTGCGCACAGCAACCCCTGCGACACTCGGAACATCCCGAAGCCATCATTGACCCCAGCATTGCAGTTTGCAACGTCAAGGATTCCCGTCAACCGAAGCAAATCCATCAAACCCTGAGGCTCTAGGCTCGAATGACAAGCCTTAAGCCTAAGGCGATTCAAAGAACCACTAGGCGCGAAGTACCAGCTCTAAATCCCAAACCTGCATCGAGTGCGGATATGACGCATTACGCCGACGGACATGTTACCACAAATGTTTTACCCAAAACCCTAGGTTTAGATCCTAAGCCGAACCCTAAACACAACCCTAAGCCCTGAATACCAAAACCACTAAACCCCAAGCCCCAAAGCCTACATAAACCCTAAACCCTCTAAAGCCTAAACCCCAAAACCACTAAACCCCAAGCCCTAAAGCCTAAACTCCAAAGAACTTGAGGCTTCATGGCATAGTACGCAGCCCTAGTAACCTCCTAAACCTACCCATGGGCCCCTAAATAGTTCCTTTTTATGGCTTATATTTAGAACCCTATAAGGTACTCCCAAAAAGGAAGTACTTAGGGGCCTATGGGTAAACCCCCCCCATCTAGATGTGAGGTGAGATCATGGCATGTATCACCTCTGCTTGCTAAACCCTCAACCCTTGACAGGTTCGCTCATGGCAAGTATCACCTCTGCTTGCTGGACCTTGGCTGGCTGAACGCAAAGAACCGGGCCATGGAGTTGCTGAAGCTCTGCTCTTCTCAAGGAACTCCCGAACCCCAAAGATCCTACCCGTTTTTTTGGGGGTTCCTTAGTACCTAAGTCCTTAAATACGAAAGGATAGGGTTTAGGAATTAGGGTTTAGGGCTTTAGGCTTTAGGGTTTAGCGAAACCCCAAAGAAACTACCTTTTCTAGGGTTTCTTCTTATGATTTCTTTATGTACGCCCTTAAATAAGTGGGTTATTTAGGGTCCAGGCCTAGGTGAAGTTACTGTAGCTTGGAATCCTTTAATTTAAGGGGGTCCTTTAAGGGCTCTTCTTAAGGAGCGTAAGTTAAGGTTGCCTTGTTTTGTTGAAGTTTGTTGCAAAACAAGAAAGCATGGTAAAGAACAACTAGGCTTCATCTCAAGTTGCCATAAGACAGAAATCACATCATTCATCCTAGATCCGTA